GTGAATATCCTTTTCCCTGGACACACACATGCACACACACACACACACACACACACACACACACACACACTCTTCATGGTTTTTATTTATTCATTTCTCAGACTGTTTTCCCTAAGAAACAAAACATATATATTCTCCATGCCATTTCTTCTTTCCTCAAATTGTCTCCCCAAGAAATAAGAAATCAAAGTAGAAGTGAGAATGCAGTGCTTCTGCTTTCTAAAGAAACAATCTACTATCATAGTATAAGTTACCAGAAAACTGGCCTATTAGTCAACTCTGTTATACATTAAATTTTTAAAATTACTTTGTTAATAATTTCACGTGTTTCTTGAAAAAGACATGTGATATTATGACTAAGTTTAACTGCAGAATATATTGGTCAATTAAATTCATTTTAAGTGCAAAATATTGACACACAATTTTCTTGTTAAACCTATTGAAATTAATCATCTTTGCTTTGAAAACAATACTCTATTAAAATTTATATTTCTTCACTAAGAAATTTAACAGTAATGTATAGAGCATTCCCATATTTCCATTTGAATAACAAGGGAAATATCAAAGAACTGGAAGTCACATTTCTCTATATCAATCAGATATTTATTCTAAAGGGCAAAATGCTTCCACAAAATTATTACGTAATGTAAAACATGTGGAAGACATTTCAAATGAAAATAAAGTGTGAGTTTGGAAATTTAAAAATATTTAGAGACAACTTTCACATTAATAGCAAAATAATATATTCATGTTAATCATATATTATTTTCATTAAAGAAAAATGGTTTGCTGTGTAGAAACACAAGTATAATCTTTGGTACCAAAGATCTTTTTTCTTCTACCTATTTTACCATCTCAGATGACATGGAACATCTTTTCTTTAGAATGGCCTAATATTACATAGTGGCACACTAATATTACAAGTTTAGCTGGTACCTTCTACACCATTGGAAAATAATATGGAGGTTTAGAGTTGTGAAAAATAAAACATTTTTTTTTAAGTCTTTGTGTGATAGATTTCCAAAAAATATAAGAAATTTAAAAATAATTACGTAAAGTTTATTTTCCTCATTCATATGTATCTCAGAAAGGATTTCTATGCACCCCAATACCCAAACCAAAAGAGATTCCAGAAGACAAACAAAAACATAAATTTGAACATAAAATTCAGACTCAGAGTCCTGACTGAAGGCATTTACTTGAGTTGTTTAATCTTATGGATTTCATTGCTCAAATTGCTTCCATCTTGATTTCTGATGACAAGGATGGTTTAATTTCCCAAGGACTGAGTTGTGTTCCTGGGGTTTCTCTTCTAATGTGCTTGGCGTTGCTGTGGGCAGCCTGACAGTGATGAACCTATTTACTTTGCTAACTAATGATGAGTGCACTGTTGGATCTTGTAAACACTACTGATTATACATTCAAACTGTATTCTTAGTGGAAGTGGCACTTACTAGGACCCTTGAAGTCAAAATATTTAATTTTTAGAGCACTTTGCAGGTATTTCATCAGCTGGTAGTAAATTTCTCATGAATGTCCTTTATCAACCTTTCAGTTAATTGGTGGATGCTGAAACCCAGCCGTGTTTTGGATCCTATTTTCAAATCTTCAGAAGCATCTTCAGAAAAGAAGTGCATATTGTCTGTATGTTTCAAAATGTACTTTATTGCTTTACACACTTTCCTGTTGTCAGTTTTAGAGCTCCTCTATTATGTAGCACATTTAATGTTTTGAATTCCAATGGCATTCTGTGAGGGCTTGCATTAGAAAAGTACCTATATTTTAAGTCATCATAGTAATGATATTTGACAGCTTTTCCATTCAAATCCTTAGGAAATGGCCAGAATCCATACAGGTGAATTTCATCACAGAATCTTGTGGCAAGTGTATACATGAGGAGACCTGTGCTGGGTCTTTTGATAGGAACTTTGTTGGTCAGCCAGTAGCTGGAAAAAAAAAAAACCAAATCAAGAAGAATTTAGAGAAACATAGAGCATATCTTATAACAATTACATGATGTAGAAAATTTAAAAGGTATCTTTATGAGTAATATTTTAAAGGATAACTGAAGAAATATTTTTAAGCATTTAGAAAATTTGATGCTTTTATTTTATTTTTTCTTTATCCCTTATATTCTTTCTTATTCTTGAGGTTAAATAAATACCCAGGGGACCTGGGATGTAGGTAAATATTACTCTAGAATCTCAACTTTGAAATAAACCTATAGCAAACATTTTCTCAAAAGAATTAAATATGACTGCACAAGTCATGATCATTGGGTACAGATTAAGTAATCCTCCTAGAAAAAAATAGATGGAAACTGTGGCTACAGATTTTCAAAATGTTGATATTACAATTAAAAATTCAAGGAAAAAAGCTTTACCTATGTTATATCAATTGATTTATTCAGCTCCATTTTCCAAGTCACATTTTACTAAAGCAAATTAGAAGACTTACTTCTATTCACATAAGAACAACAACAATAAAAAAAGTTGTAGAATAATTGATAGTTTACCACTTATACCATTTAACATTTTATTAAATAGGTAAAATATATTTCAATGCTTATAAGTATTTTATAGGCAATAAAGTACGTCAAAATGTTTAAATCCATCATTGCTACCAAACATTGGTGTGAAAAGCACGCAAACTCACAAATTAATCATCACCTCTGGAAGAAAGGAGGCTTCCAACATTTCTTGGCATATTCATTTCCTTAAGGACAATGATCTTTTTTGAAAGCAGCTGAAAGAGTGTGGATTTTTTTCTTACTTTTAAAGTTGTTTAATTATAAACACAAAACCTTAATATGTTTTTAAAATTATTTAGATTTTACTATTGTCTTCTATTTGGAGAGATACGTACTCTGTCATCCAAATTTAAGGGGAATATTATGTTAGATTTGGATGGTTGCTGTATTTAATAAACTTGCTTTAGATTTAACATAGTATTATTTTCCTCTTTTCTCTTTTTTAAAACTTTTATAGTGCTTTCCAGGAGAGATACAATACATCTAGAGTACTGAGTATGAAAAAAACTTAAAGTGATATGTTACTTCATTTCCTTAAATAAATTTATACTTTTAAACTTCACTGGAAACATCCCAAACAGGAAAAATATACCTGGCCATTATAATTCTATATTTTGTCTTTCATCTTCTCCCTTTTCCCAGTCAGGATTAGCCTTACATATTTTCTCTTTTTCTCATTTAGTGAAGGCTGTGGGCTAAATATTTTGAGCTGTATAAAATGTGTTATGAACCCTTTGATATCACAGTTGTTTTAAGACTGTCTGTTATCCATAAAGAAGGTTTTATAAGGAATTTTCAGAGAAGACCATCTAGGAATTTTCTCATAACTCACAGGAACTGAATGAGCAAAACCATAACCTATACACTATTGACATAATGTGGAATCCATAGACATTGATTCTAAGCCAGGAGCATAGTCAAACTTCTTCGAAGACTTTGAAGAAATTATGATGTGGCCTGAAGCTCTCTGGGCTTTGAGAAAACAAGTGTTTTTTGTTTTGTTTTCTTTTGTTTTTGTTTGTTTGTTTTTTTACATGAAATAATGATTATGGAAAAGTGTTGTGAATGTGATCTGTGTATGGTTACAGATGTTAGGTGATTAAGTTGGTTAGTTAAAAATGTATCTATTTATAAATGTTTAAGCCAAGCAAATTCAAATTCAGTTAAAAAAAAGAGTATTTCCACTAAGCAAAGTCCATGATTAGAAATAATTTGGCAGTATGAGGGTTATGCTTATTTATTTCTAAAGTGAGAAAAATGCTGCTATACTACTTGTATGAAACTCCAAGTTCTAAATATCAATGAATGCTTTCTATTTTCTAATTCTGGAGAGATTTTTTAGAGGTTTATATAACTATGACTGCTCATAGACAAATACCAAAGCAATTTCTATATGCAATACAAATAAGTAACTACAATGTCAGAAATGCTGAAGGCAAAATTATTGGCTTACATGCTTTAAAACAGTGTCAGAGATGTGCAATCAACCTTTTTTGATACAGGGCATCTTATGAGGTATCACAAATAAAATATCACTGAAGTGTCTTGAAAATGAAACTGATTGCAAAGCATCTTATTTGAAAATAATGAGTAGAGCGGCTTTAGAAACTTCTTTTGGTCTTGTTTGAAATAAATAACTATATGCAGTTAAAATATTGAATTAATTTAGCTTTAGAAATGTTAACAGAAAAATTAGTTGGTGATATTTGATTTGCAATACTTTGAATAATATCAAAGAAAAATATGCCGTCAATATTTCAGGACATTTTTGAAGAAACAATACAAAATAAATGCCACTTATCCTATTGATTTCTAAAAAGTGTCACAGAAAAATACACCTTAATAAATGGCATCAATATGTAACACATAAGTTGGAAAATGCCTTAAATAAGTCAGGCCATAAGTAATAACATTCTAAAAATTTAAAAACACAGATCTGATCAAATGCAGTCTATAAGACTATATTTTGTGTTTATTATCAACCTAATATTGTGCCTGAAATTGTATAGGCCAATCTAAATTATTGCAATTCAGTATTTGTCCAGTAACAAATTCTACATGTAAAAATAACAAGAATAGACATTCTTTCTAATTCTGTTAGCATAATTGGTTAGATAATATTAAAAGGTAGAGCCCAGACTGCAATTTTGAAATCCATACCTGAATGTATCCACCTTTATACAATTTGATATTTAAAAACTGCAAATTTTTATGGAGTATATCAAAAATAGATAGAATATTAAGTTGTTTTTCATCCTCATTGGAACAAATATTAAATTGGAAATAATACATTGATAAAATCATGGAATATTCACACTGTTTCAGTACAACATGTTCTAATTTTTACTTCAAATGTACATGTTATAGTTTAAAATTTAGCAAAATTTTAAATTCAATAATTTAGCTTGCATACATGTATTTCTTTTTATGTAAATTGTAAGCTCCATGTCTAAAATTTGAAGGAAAAAAAATCTGAGTAAGAAAAATATTACCTATAATCCAACCACATAAAGATAATTACTGCTACAACATGTGGCATCCTTTTTCTTCTCTGGCTGATTTGGATCTTAATATATGTTATATTCATACATAGACATATACAAATTATTTTTTATCAGAGAGGCTATGTTTTATTTTTAATATTATTAATTTCCTCTGTCCTTCCTTCCTTTCTTTCTTCTTTCCTTACTTCCCTCCTTTCTTCCTTCTTTCCTTACCTTTTGTTTTATTATTATACCTTCTTCTGTTGTATGAAACATTCAGCCTTGACTATATGTGTAAATAGAACATTTATAACTATTTGATACATTTGATAGCCTCTGTAGATCTCACTTCTCTCAACGTGAAAGCTCTGTTTTGGCTAAGTGAGGTGTCTTATATGCTCTACCTCCAACATATTAGTTTCATTTCTTACTTCAAACAAAGTCAAAATATGAAATGTTTCTACCCACCAAATTATTGTGCTCTAGAAGGCTATATTTATAGTCAGAAGATACAGCTTTGAATTTGTGATATGTTTATTGGTACTTAAGAAAGCTGTGTCACTTCCTTGGAGCTCAGTTAACAATATTTAACATAAAAAGTTGTGATTCTGTAAAAGAGATAGTAAAGGTAAAAGATCCTAAAGCTTGACATATAATAAATAATACTACTTGACTTTCAACATATCCCAAAACAATCATTCTTCCATCCCACTTCTCTCTTGGAAACTTCTGTGACTACAATATTGACTGGACAATTGTGGTCATGTCACATAACCTCAGTGGAAATGTTTCCTTAATTGTGAAACAAATATTTAATTCTACAGCTTTGGGATTTCCTCTATAAAATTATATTGTAGTTTCAATCTTCTCTGTCCATGAAATTGTGTGAAACATGCTTATTCCTTGTCTCTTTCCTCCTCACCATTTTGTTCTCTTTCCTTCCTTCATTTCAATACAGTGAAAAGAAAAGAAGGTACCTAATAAACACTTATTGATTTTAAATCCAGTATGATTTTATATTTTATCTCATAATAAAAACAGATAATAATCACCTGATGAGTCAAAATACCTGATTATTTCAAGCAACCAGGGTTTTAGAAAAAAAAGTTATATTTAACAATATTGACACTAAGGAGAGCTCACATTCAACATATTGACAGACACAAAGTATTCGTTTGTATTTATAGTTAAATAAAAATGTCTAAAAGGTTAGAAGTATTACATTGGTGCAAAAGTAATTGCGGTTTTTGCTATTGAAAGTAACGGCAAAAAAACATTGTGGTTTTTGCCATTGAAAGTAATGGCAAAAACTGCAATTAATTTTGTACCAACCTAATAATCATATTTTTTCCTATGAAAATGTTATTCTTCTTCCAAAAATCAAATGTGACAATTTCTAGAAGAATTTGAATATAGAGGATAGAATCTCACTGTACCAATAGTTGTAATTTAATGTTATATTATAAGCAAACTTTTCATTAATGAGCCCAGAAATTCTTCTATCTGGAATGTGAGATGAAGTGTATAACAAAATATAACTTTATACTCTTAATTCATGAGTCTCCTCTATTTCTCCTCTCATATTTATCATTCGATAACTGAGATTTGTGCTTGATATCCCTGGAAGACTACGTCATGTGTAAAAATATGGCTTTTGATCTTTCAGTCTAAATTAATTTGAGATATTATAAAATAATTGGTTTTCTATAAGTAATCTTTGCAGGAAGTGTCTGCACAACCCCAATTCTACAGTCACCCCAGAAAGCTAACAGAGACCATTTATGATGATATTATTTTTCCACCAAAAATCACAGCATGGAGCAAGAATAAATATATGTGTTTTGAGATTCCATCAGTCACATTTATCAATATGTTTGTTCATTCTTATGAGGAGTATATCTGTATCAGCTGTATAACATGGAACTTAAAGCAG